CCCCCCCCCCCCCCCCCGAAATGCCATTTCTCACCCATTTTAAAGGCTGATTTGCAGATCTGGAAGCTTTCTGGCCAATGGACAGGTGAGGGCCCGTCAGTGGCAAAGGGGGATGTTGATCCAGCCCCCCCTGGAGGAACAGAGGGGCTTGGGGGTGGGCTGAAGGGCTCCCACATCAGGAGGTCATTATTGATCCTGGGGGGTGGAAAGGAAGAGACAATGAATGCAAACCACCCACCTGCCACATCCAAAATGTTCCAACTGCATGCAAGGGAAAACAATAAATCACTCTCCTAAACTCTTCCACCAACTTCTTGAAACTACGTGACATCCTAAATTCTGTCCCAGAGCCTCCAGATGGTTTAGGACTGCAACTCCAGGAATCCCCCACCCAGACTGACCTTTGGTATTCTAGGTTACCCCCCAAGAGAATTCTGGATTGATGTCAGCCAAATGTCAGAGCCAAATCCAGCAGGTTCACCATGGCCCTATGAACCCCAACATGGGGCAGGCAGAAGCCCCAAAGTTCTGCTTTCCAAAATGTATGGGAAGAAAACCTCCAGTGCCTCAGTGAGAGAAGATACAACTTGCCTTGTAGGAAGTCTCAATGTCAACTGTGGCATCTCCACTTAAAAAGGATCAGGCTCTTTCTCTCAATGAGAACTGGGGCAGCCAATTGGGGCCTGCAATACTGGAGATACGGACTACTATTCTGATTTGGTCCAAGGCGATCCAGCTGCTGGGGTGTCAAGACCCCACAGCAGCCTCTCAAAGACCTCCCAGTTCTTCTTCAGTCGCATCATCCTGTATCCCCCATGGCCATCCAACGTTCTCCAAGCCAGGCATTCTGACCTGTTGTAGATGCTCTCGTAGAACTTCTTGCTCGGGAAGAAGATGTGGATGGTGGGGAAGGTCAGCTCCAGAGTGTAGCGGGAGGCCGCCAGCGTCTGGCTCTGGAACTCAGCCATCTCCTCGGGATCTCCAGGGATGACCATCTTTAGAGGAAGAGGAGAGGATGAGAAATGAGGAAGAAAGATACCCCTAGCAGCCTGGAGAAAGGGGGCCTCCATCAAGGGGGCAGTTTTTGGGGGGCCGAGGGTGGGCCTGTTCCCCAAGGAGTAGGTGAGGCCAGAGCAAGAATTCACTTGGATTTCCTTTCCACTGAAATGCAATTAAAAGTCATTCTTACTAGAGCCCAGTCTCTATTGCAGTGTTTCTCAACCTTGGCAAGTTTAAGATGGGTGGACCTTAACTCCCCGCAAGGGTGGCTGGGGGATTTCGGGGGGTTGAATCCACCCCACTTAAACTTGCCCAAGGTTGGGAAAACTGGAATAGAGGCGCGG